AGGGACTGGACTCGGGTCCTCTCGACCCCGAGCACAAAACCCAGCCTTCCGCAGCTGTCTCCATTAGCACAAAACAAACCTCTGTGCGTCCGGAGTAGCGTACCCTGCAGGAATGCGGGGGGAGGGTGCTGACCCCCGAGCTGGCGAGCACCGGACCAAACCAGTCTGCACCGGGACGGACCCCAGCGCTGAACTTTCGCGGACTCTCCCCTCCTTGGGACGTTAGAAGTCACACCTGGGGTGCAGATTTAACGTGTTCAGTAGACCTGCCGCACGGGAAGGAGCGCGATCTTTACGCGCGCAGGTGCGGATACACCCCCGCCTCCACCTGCTTGTACTAAACCCTTTCCCCACCTAAGTTTCCGTAAAAAACCCTCCCTGACCGCCCCTCGGGGAGCCAGCCCGAGAATTCCTTCCTTCCGGCGGCCTCGTTGTGCGGAGCACAAGTCCCTGTGAAGCCTTTCTGGGACTCCCACGAGGCCTCCTGTCCTTTTCCATTGCCTGGCGAGCCCGGGGCCCTGCTGGGTATCAGCCGCGCTTCAGAAACCCTAAGGGACTAATCAGTGTAAATGTGACGTATAGACGGGGACCTGGCTCCATGGGTGGAGACGGACATGTAAACGATTAGTAACGTTGCCTGGTCAGCACGCAGCAGGAGGTGAGCCCCTAACTGCTTGTGGTCAGTCACAGAGGAAGGGGCCGCCCGTTCACTGGGAAGCAGGAAAAGCGAGGATCTTTCATTACCTGGGAATTCGAGTTGGTGATCTCTTGTCTCTTAAGTTTTCTTTGCTTATGGACAACTACTGTGGAAATTGTCTTTCGGTGGCGTGTAAATAATTTTAGCATTTTTTTCCCCTAATAGTATTTCCTTACTGTTTCGTGAGTCAGAATGTGTCTGGCATCTAGGTTGTCCTGCTCTTCGTGGGGTTTCCTACTTCTTTGCCACCCTGAAGAACCTCGAGGGGAATCTCTCAACGGAGAGCGTGTAATACACTCTGTCGGGTTATTTCAATCCAGCAGACCACGAAGCAAGCGGAGCTGGACCTTGGACCCTCCAAGTTCCAGAGGACGCGGTGGGGCTTGTGACCCTGAAGGTGGAGAAAGATGAACATACTTGGAAAGGAGACTCCAGCTTTCGAAGGGAGAAACCGCATACCAGGGAGATCTTTTGCAGGTGCTTCAGTTTTGCTCTCCAGAGACACCTGGACCCCTCGAGGCTCAGAGTCGCACCGGGCTCGGGGAGCTCTGCCGACGCTGGCTGCGGCCCGAGACGCACAGCAAGGAGCAGATCGTGGAGCTGCTGGTGCTGGAGCAGTTCCTGACCATCCTGCCCGAGGAGCTGCAGGCCCGGGTGCGGGAGCGGCCCCCGGAGAGCGGGGAGCAGGCGGTGACTGTGCGGGATGAGCCAGGAGAACAGAACAGGTGGGAGAGAATGGGAGCTGTCCTCGGGGAGGGGTTTAGATCTCTGCTCTGCGGGGCGGGGGGGATCTACCCAGCAGTTGCAGAGTGGGCAACTCTCAGTTTTCTCCAAACAAACATAGAGCTACTAGCTTCAGATTTTGTTTTTGTCCTGTTAGGATTTTTCAGGGATTTTTCTCTTACGTCCGACGTTCTTCACTCTAATTGAAGCCCTGAGGAAGAGAAGCAAATAGCGGAACATTGCTTGAACAAATACCCAGCTACTAAAATGAATACAGAAAATGACCTTTTCAGCATGGAAACGAACCTCTCGCTGTGGTGCCATTTCCTGTCACTCGGCTCAAGGTCAGCTTTCCGAACAGGGCGTTCTGGTAACTCCTAGAATGTGTGCAGGGACGAGACTCACACTTGGTGCAACCAGAAGCCACGCAAACCCCAGCTAGGACGTCCTGCCCAGAGAAATTGCCGGCATAGGTAGTGGCCTGTTCCTGGTGCTGTTGTTCTAATCGGCTCGACTGAGATATACGATAAAACTCAGCAATTTTAAGAGTACAGTTTAATGAGCTTTGACAAATAAATCAACGGCCATAAAACTATCCACACAGTGTTTTCATAGCCTAGAAATGTCCCTTCATGCTCCTCTAAGTCAGTCCGTCCATTTTCAGACCACTGGCAAACATCAGTTTGCTTTCTCTCACTATAGGTCACTTTAGTTTACTTATCTAGAATTTCATAGAATCACTTTTTTTTTATTGACAGCGATGCTTTGGAGGTCCTGCTGTGTACTGCTGTGTTGTTGCATGTGTAATTCTTCCTCTTATTGACGGGTAGAATTTCAGTGTGTGGGTATAGCAAATTCACTTGCCTAAAGTTAATAGACATTTGGGTTGGGTCTAGTCTTTGTCTGAAAATATGCTTTCACTTCTCTTGGGTAAGTATACTTAGGGGCGGTATTGCTGAGTTGGGTGGTAAGTGTACTTTAACGTTACAAGAAAACTGCCAAACTGATTTCCAGACTAGTTGTGTTATTTTATTTATTTATTTATTTATTTTTAAAGATTTTATCTATTCATTTGAGAGAGAGAGAAAGCATGAGGTGGGGAGGGTCAGAGGGAGAAGCAGACTCCCCGCCGAGCAAGGAGCCCGATGCGGGACTCGATCCCAGGACTCCAGGATCATGACCTGAGCTGAAGGAAGTCGCTTAACCAACTGAGCCACCCAGGCGCCCCTAGTTGTGTTATTTTGCATTGCCTTTAGTATTTGCTTTTTATCAAGAAAACATTACCCTAAATATTCATTAAGGGTTCGCATAAATATAGTGACATATTTGGCTCTTCAGCTTTAAAAAAGTCAGTCTGGGGGCGCCTGGGTGGCTCAGAT